ACTCTGTGACTTTTATCTTTTTGAGTGCAGGATATTTTTATATTCCTAAAAATATTCTTGAGCTTTGTTCTGGCATATGGTTAAATTACTCAGGAACAGTTTGCTCTTTTTAGGTCTTATGTTTAAGCTTTGTTACACTGGACTAAAAGCTTTTAGTCTGCAGTTAATTTTGCCCACTACTTAGGCAGGTCCCTTCTGAATAACTAATACCTCATGAATTATGAGGTTTTCTGCTCTGACTTTTGGGAACAGGCACTATGTCTGTGAACTCTGAGCACTTGTTCTTTCTAATCTCTTCCCATCCTTGGGTAGTTTCCCCAATCCCATGTACTGATGAGGATCCATCTGAATGCCACAGAGAAAATTATCTTGGCTTCCCCTTACTCTAGCTTCTAGCTACCTAATTCAGGGGACCTTTGGGCCCTGCCTGGGGTAATTATAGTGTTCACCTTATTTGTTTCCCATCTCTCATTGTCTTCATTTCCTTATGTCCAATGTCTTGAGAGCCCTTTTTTCCATGTATTTTTTCCAGTTTTTTATTTATTTTATACTTTTTATATTTTTATTGAATTTATTGGGATTACATTGGTTAATAAACTTATATAGGTTTCAAGTGTACAGTTCTATAACACATCATCTGTATGTTGTATTGTGTGTTCACCACCCCAAGTCAAGTCTCCTTCCATCACCATTTATCCCCCCTTTACCCTCTTCCACCGCCCTCCACTCCCCTTTCCCTCTGCTAATCAACATACTATTGTCTGTGTCTATGAGTCTTTGGGTTTTTATTTAATTCCTTCATCTATTTCACCCAGTCCCCTAACCCTCCTCCCCTCTGCCAGCTGTCAGTCTGTTCTCGGTATCTATGAGTCTGTTTCTATTTTGTTCATTAGATTCCACATATAAGTGAAATCATATTTGTCTTTCTCTTACTGGCTTATTTTACTTAGTATAATGGTCTTCAGGTCCATTCATGCTGTTGCAAAGGATAAAAGATCCCTCCTTTTTACAGCCATATAGTATTCCCTTGTGTAAGTATACCAAAGCTTTTTTATCCACTGATCTATTTAGACACTTGGGCTGCTTACATATCTTGGCTATTGTAAATAACACTGCAATGAACATAGGGGAATATATATCCTTTCACATCAGTGTTTTGAGTTTCTTTGGATAAATCCTCAGAAGTGGAATTGCCAGGTCATAAGGCAGTTTCATTTTTAATTTTTTGAGGAAACTCCATACTATTTCCCACAGTGGCCACACCAATCTGTATTCCCACCAACAGTGCACAAAGGCTTCCTTTTTTCCACATTCCTTGCCAACAGTTGTTGTTTGCTAGTTTATTGGTGATAGCCATTCTGACAGGTGTGAGGTGATACCTCATTGTGGGTTTAATTTGCATTTCTTTGATGATTAGTGACATTGAGCATCTTTTCATATGTTTATTGGCCATCTGTATGTCCTCTTTGGAGAAATGTCTGTTCAGGTTCTTTACCAATTTTTTAATTGTATTTTTTGCTTTTTGGTGTTGAGTTTTATAAGTTTTGTATAAATTTTGGACATTAACCCCTTATCTGATGTATCATTGGCGAATATGCTCTCCCATTCAGTAGGTTGTCTTTTTATTTTGTTGATGGTTTCCTTTACTGTGTAAAACTTTTTAACTTGATGTAGTCCCATTTGTTTATTTCTTGTAGCAATATATTTTCTGATATAGCTCTTTGGGCAAGGGAAACAAAAGAAAAAATGTCATTTTTTAATTGTTTCAAGTTGGGGGTTAAATCTGTTCTTGGTTACTCCATCTTGGCCAGGAGTGGAAATCACCCTGCCCTAGGCTTAACTTAAAAAAAATTAAAAAATTTTAAAAATAAGAATGAAAACAAATAGTCCTTGTCCACACACTCCCAGTACGAAATTCCCGAGGCAGCCACATTCAACTCCTGCATGCTTTTCTCCTGGAGCGCCTTCCGATCCCATCCCGCTCCCCTCCTCTCCGCTCAGGGTGGCCGTCTCTGCCCAGGCTGTCTGCAGCGGCCCGCGTGTCCAGCTCTGTGCCATTCCTCTGCTGCATTGTTCTCCACAGCTCTTCCCTCTTCTTGACATCACCAGAATTGTTCCTATGTTAGAGTCGGCCTCCGTCACTGCTGAATACCCAGAGCCTGGGACAACTCCTGGGCACCTTGTAGGCCCTCAGGAAATAGCTGTTAAAAAAATGAATGAATGAATGAATGAATGCCAGAGACTGTGCTTGGAGCTTTCCAAACATCATCCTCTGCTGCCCCACCTTAGAGGTGGATAACAACTAATAGTTTTCCAGGAGAGCAGAGCAGAAGGGTTTTCCAGGCAGCGGGGACATGTTTCAGAGCTCTTTTTTTTTTAAAGTCTGGTATGGAATTCAGGAAAGTAAGATTTATTAAATTGACTCCATTTCTTGCTTCACATTGTCATGGAAATTCTGATTAACCAGCTTCCTTTCTAAGATGTTTTCCCAGAATTAAAAAGAAAAAACCGAAAAGCAATATTAGCTATGTCGTGCATTTTTTAAATGGAAACATAATAAAAATATTAGAATGAAACTTTCTCACACACTTTCCTCTGTGTGTGCGTGTACACCCTCCCTCAACCTCCCACCCCCACCCCGAGACTTTGAGTGACTGTGGGAAGTAACTGTGGAACTTGGTAATGGAACTGTCTGGTGGACAGAAGGGATGACATTCCATAAGGCAGCCGCTGTGTCATGCTCTTATCCTGGCCTTCAGGAAGGGGCACCTTGAGGGGTCACCAGTGGCTTGAACCTAACCAAGTCTTCAGCTTTCTCCTCTTGGTTCTGCAGCAAACATGCCAATTAAGTGGTGGTTTTTGTAATGAAACCTCAAGTCACTGGACTCAGAACATAACTTCATTTGTTTCATGCAGTTCAGCAGATGGAAACGACTTTCATTGCGCCCCCAATTGTCCTCATTTAAATCTGGGACCTGACACTGGAAAGGAAGCTCTGCATCCTGTTAGCCAAGCCCCCGAGTTGAAGCTGTGCTCATTGTATTTGTGTTTCTCGGGGTGTTTTCTTTATTCTGTTCTTGGCAGGGGTTTTGAAGAAGAATTTTCTTTAATGAATTAGGAAACAGTTATTTTCTAAAAAATAATGTAGGTATATCTGAGAGTTTGAAGCATATGTGTAATGATTTTAGAAGAAAATATTTTCACAGATTCACCAAAGGAAAGTAATTTTGGGGGGGGGGACATTTGAAAAACCAAATGTTAGGCTAAAATATTGATCAAATAGGTAAAAATTTACCTCGTTTAATAAAAGTAGGTTTTTTTAAAACTGAGTTATGTAACACAAGATTTTGTTTCTGATTTGAAGAAGCACAAAAATACAAACGCATTTGCTTTATGACATAATTTCTGGCTTTCCAAAAAATAAAGTCATATTTACATAAAGCAAAAATATAGAGCCATAGGGATCTGGGTTTATAATGACAGTGTGTGACCTCATATCTCAGATGCTAAATTCTTTTTAAGGATAAAGTCAGCTTGTGTTAACACTTCTATTTCATGCGACATCAGCTTTAGTGTCGTTTTGGTTTATTTTCAGAAGGGCAATTGAAACAGGAAATCAGGCTTACTAAGTAACTGAACAATATTCCATCATCTCGGTGTTGACAAATTCTCACTCAAAACAGGAGCCAGTGACAAACTCTTGAAGTAACTGAGGGCCTTCCCTTCAGCTCCTGCCCAGC